GAACAGATAAGTGAAATCTAGTTTAAATTTTGAATAAATATACAACAAAGCTGTTCAAAATTTGAACAAATAATAATAATTTTGTAAATTTGTGTGTAATATTTGAGTTTTGTTGGCTGGCATTTCCTGTAGTGTGATGAAGAAAAAGATTTGATCAATTGAACAAATCTTTACTCTTTATTTTTTTAGTTTTGGTTATTATTTTTTTAGTTGCTATTGAAAATGATGTTTATGTTGATGATGATGAAACAAATATAGGACAAATTTGGAACAGATAAGTGAAATCTAGTTTAAATTTTGAATAAATATACAACAAAGCTGTTCAAAATTTGAACAAATAATAATAATTTTGTAAATTTGTGTGTAATATTTGAGTTTTGTTGGCGAATAGTTCTAACAGATAGAGAAAATTAATTTGTGAATTTCAAACAGATAGGAAAAATGGGTTTTCAAATTTGGGTAACAAATAAGAAAAATTGAACAAATAGATAGAATTTCCGAAAAAAATTAAATAGATAGATAGAATTTAGGGGAAAAAATTGAACAAAGAGTTAAAAAATTTGAACAGATAAATATAAATTTAAACAAATAGACAAAATATTTTAACATGTAGATAAAAAATTTGAACAAATAAAAAAATTAAACAGATAAATATAAATTTAAACATATAGTCAACGAAAATTCAAACGGATAAAAACAAGTTAAGGGGTAAAATGGGAAACAAAATGTTCTTGAGGATTTCTCACGGGAGCTTCTATATACACACACTCTTTCCTCTCTATACAAATCTTTCTTAATACACACTAAAAAAATAAATCCTAATATATTTGACTCACTACACACACCTATCATTCCACATATACCCCCAAATGTAAATCATACACACACACACCCCCTCTCACACACACACCCATCTCTCACACTCTCCACCGTTCCACCCCAAAAGCTTCATCCATCCATCTGTGTCATTGAAGTATTGGCATTGAAGGGCATTGAAGGGCATTGAAGAGCATTGAAATCTTCACATTTTAGGTTAGTTTACACAGATTAGAATCTTCTCATTCCTATTTTATTTGTAATGTAGGGTTAATTTTTACCATTTTCCGTCCACCATTGCAAGTGATTGCCGTGTTTCCTCATTCGGAACTAGTTAGTCGAATTTTTTGTTTTTGTTCGGCAATCTAGTTTCGAAAACAAAAATAATATTCGGCATTAGAGTTCCGAATTTTCTGCTTCTATTCGGCACTATAGTTTCAAAAATATTTACTTGGTTCGGCTTTCAAGTGCCGAAAATAATATTTTTTTTTGGTTTTCAACTTCCGAATAGTAGCTTTAATTTCGGACAACAACTTCCGAACAGAATAGGTATTTCCGATTGTGAACTTCCGAACGGTTTTTTTTTTTTTCTTCTTAATTAAAACACTTAATTAAAACACTTAATCATAACACTTATTATAATTTAAAAACACTATTATTTACACACACACTCATTACACACACTCTCATTAATTTACACACACTCTCTCATTATAATTTAAAAACACTTATTATTTACACACACACTCATTACACACTCTCATTAATTTTACACACACACTCATTACACACACACTTATAATTTAAAACACTCTCATTAATTTTACTTACATTCTGTTTATTTACACTTAGTATTTTTTGCAGATAATATGGATTCTGAATATCAACAACGTGTCCCACTTACTGCTTCAAATAGACGACGTCGTGAATTGGATGTAGACCATAACGGGGACGAGGGCGTGGGCGAGGACGAGGTCAAGGTCGTGATCTAGTTTCGGTAGAATAGATATTCCCAGTGCCAGTCAAAGTGGGGCCGAAGCCAAAGACGAGTTGAAGGTTATGATATGCCTGACATTGCTGTGGAGGATACCTCTTTACCTGATTCTCCTCCTGTCCAGGAAGAGTACCTTACTCATGCTTTTCCAGGTGGACGACTGATCCGTCAATACTGCGGAGTTTCAATAGTCATGTGGCTGCAGCTATTTGGCACGGAGAGGTAAACATTCCTCAGTAAACTGAAATTCATTTGTATATGATTTTTTTTTTGTATGTGTGTGTTTGTATGGTAGTTTGTAATGAGATATCATTTGTGTTGTAGGACGAGGGCCCTAAAGTGTCATAATCACTCTTCCAAGATCCTTGCATGGCCATGGTGGTTAGTAGAGAACAACACCAGATTCAAAGCCATTATTGAGCAGTCTGGACTGTCACAGTTAGCTCGTTGCACTTATCGGTTCGTCACAAGCTTCTAATCTCCAGTTTTGTTGAGAGATGCAACCTGAGACGAACACATTTCACATGACAGTTGGTGAGATACCTTGACCCTGGATGATGTTGGCACTATTCTTGGCCTTCCCATTGTAGGCAAATCAGTCAGCATACCAGATGTGACAGATCATCATGGAGTTACATTACTCGTTTTGGCTTGGGGATTACTGAACGTGCAGCACATGAAGAGGTTTCTTCTGTTGGGGGCAATTCAGTCAAGCTTGAATGGTTGCAAAGTCAGTTTGCTGGTGTCACAAGATTCAAACCCCGAGGAGGCTATACAGTGCGCTGCAAGAGCTTATTTGTTGTTTCTGTTGAGATGTACACTCTTCAGTGACAAGAGTGGCGGCAGGGTTCCCGTTGTTTACCTCGGCTTGTTGATGGATTTGGGCTCCATACATACTTATGCCTGGGGTGCTGCTGCATTAGCATTTTTATATAGATAGTTGGGGTTTGCTAGCCGGTTTGGGGTTAAGCAAATGGGTGGTTATATGACTCTTTTGGATGCGTGGATTTATGAGCACTTCCGAGCATTCCAACCTCATCAGAACATGGGCTACAATGAAAACATGCCACACGTGTACCATTGGGCATCTAGAGAGAGGGGGTTCCTCCATTGACCATTTGAAATCTTTCCGGGCCGAGCTTGACAGTTTAGTAGCTACTGATGTAAGTTTACTTATCCTGCGATAATTTTAACACTTCTATTTATCTTACCCTTTATGTACTTTAATGTAAACACTTTACGTTTACAGGTTATTTTTTTGG